GTTAAACAAAGTACCAACCACTCCAACACTATATCCCCCTTGCTCTTAACATTTCTGTCATGATCCCATCAGTTCTAGCTGTTTTACCCCCTTTCATTCTACGTAATGCCTCACGCACCTCCCCCACACTCACATACTGCTCTTCTTCACTCCTAAAAGATGGTATACCTCCCTGGCCAGTGCATGAAATTACCACCTACCTTTCTTCGTTGACATTTAAAAGTTCCTCAAAATATTCCCGCCATCTACCCATGAGCTTTTAAATCTCTGCACAAAATTCAATTTAAACCAGCAAATAATAGAGCCTACTAGAATGGAGAATACACTAGACCTCATCTTCACTAACAATGATGATCTGATAAGAAATGTCACCATATCAAAAACAATATACTCAGATCACAACATAATTGAGGTTCAGACATGTATGCGCGGAGCCCCAGACCGACAAAATGAGATTAGTCACGAGGGAGCATTCACCAAATTCAACTTCAATAACAAAAACATAAAGTGGGACCAAGTAAACCAAGTCCTAACCGATATAAGCTGGGAAGATATACTAAGCAACACAGACCCCAACTTATGCCTAGAACAGATTAACTTGGTGGCACTCGATGTATGCACAAGGCTTATTCCTCTAAGAAAAAGGAGGAGTAGATGTAAAATAGAAAGAGACAGGCGCTCCCTTTACAGGCGACGGAAAAGAATAACAGAGCGGCTAAAAGAGGTCAATCTATCTGAAATGCGTAGGGAGACACTGGTCAGAGAAATAGCAAACATCGAACTTAAGCTAAAGGAATCTTATAGGAGTCAGGAATTGCGGGAAGAACTAAAAGCCATAAATGGAAATCGAAAGAAACCCAAAGTATTTCTTCTCCTATGCCAAATCAAAGTCGAGAACAACGTCCAGTATTGGGCCCTTACTTAAACAAGATGGGTCCTACACAGATGACAGCAAGGAAATGAGTGAGCTACTCAAGTCCCAATATGACTCAGTTTTTAGCAAGCCACTAACCAGACTGAGAGTCGAAGATCAAAATGAATTTTTTATGAGAGAGCCACAGAATTTGGTTAACACAAGCCTATCTGATGTTATCCTGACGCCAAATGACTTCGAACAGGCGATAAATGACATGCCCATGGACTCTGCCCCTGGGCCAGACTCATGGAACTCTGTGTTCATCAAGAACTGCAAGAAGCCCCTATCACGAGCCTTTACCATCCTATGGAGAGGGAGCATGAACACGGGGGTCGTCCCACAGTTACTAAAAACAACAGACATAGCCCCACTCCACAAAGGGGGCAGTAAAGCAACAGCAAAGAACTACAGACCGATAGCACTAACATCCCATATCATAAAAATCTTTGAAAGGGTCCTAAGAAGCAAGATCACCACCCATCTAGAAACCCATCAGTTACACAACCCAGGGCAACATGGGTTTAGAACACGTCGCTCCTGTCTGTCTCAACTATTGGATCACTACAACAAGGTTCTAGATGCACTAGAAGACAAAAAGAATGCAGATGTAATATATACAGACTTTGCAAAAGCCTTCAACAAGTGTGACCATGGCGTAATAGCGCACAAAATGCGTGCTAAAGGAATAACAGGAAAAGTCGGTCGATGGATCTATAATTTCCTCACTAACAGAACACAGAGTAGTAGTCAACAGAGTAAAGCCCGAGGCAGCCACGGTGAAAAGCTCTGTTCCACAAGGCACAGTACTCGCTCCCATCTTGTTCCTCATCCTCATATCTGACATAGAAAAGGATGTCAGCCACAGCACCGTGTCTTCCTTTGCAGATGACACCCAAATCTGCATGACAGTGTCTTCCATTGCAGACACTGCAAGGCTCCAGGCGGACATCAGCCAAATCTTTCAGTGGGCTGCAGAAAACAATATGAAGTTCAACGATGAGAAATTTCAATTACTCAGATATGGTAAACACGAGGAAATTAAATCTTCATCAGAGCACAAAACAAATTCTGGCCGCAAAATAGAGCGAAACACCAACGTCAAAGACCTGGGAGTGATCATGTCGGAGGATCTCACCTTCAAGGACCATAACATTGTATCAATCGCATCTGCTAGAAAAATGACAGGATGGATAATGAGAACCTTCAAAACGAGGGATGCCAAGCCCATGATGACACTTTTCAGGTCACTTGTTCTATCTAGGCTGGAATATTGCTGCACACTAACAGCACCTTTCAAGGCAGGTGAAATTGCTGACCTAGAAAATGTACAGAGAACCTTCATGGCGCGCATAACGGAGATAAAACACCTCAATTACTGGGAGCGCTTGAGGTTCCTGAACCTGTATTCCCTGGAACGCAGGCGGGAGAGATACATGATTATATACACCTGGAAAATCCTAGAGGGACTAGTACCGAACTTGCACACAAAAATCACTCACTAAAGAAAGCAAAAGACTTGGCAGACGATGCAACATCCCCCCAATGAAAAGCAGGGGTGTCACTAGCACGTTAAGAGACCATACAATAAGTGTCAGGGGCCCGAGACTGTTCAACTGCCTCCCAGCACACATAAGGGGGATTACCAACAGACTCCTGGCAGTCTTCAAGCTGGCACTGGACAAGCACCTAAAGTCGGTTCCTGATCAGCCGGGCTGTGGTTCGTACGTTGGTTTGCGTGCAGCCAGCAGTAACAGCCTGGTTGATCAGGCTCTGATCCACCAGGAGGCCTGGTCACAGACCGAGCCGCAGGGGCGTTGACCCCCGGAACTCTCTCCAGGTAAACTCCAGGTAATACCTCAATCTCCCCGTCTACTAACTCCCCTACTCTGTTTTTAATGACAAATCTATTCGTTCCCTAGGCTTTCTTAACTTGTTTATCTCATTCCAAAATTTTTTCTTATTTTCATCAAAATTTTTTGACGGTGCCTCTCCCACTCTATCATCTGCTCTCCTTATATGCTCTCACCACTCTCTTCACCTTTCTTTTACTCTCCATATACAGCAATGTTTTAGACATGCTGGGGTATATATGAAACTTCTTGAAGTACGGTGTTTATGACGAGTGTCACTTATCTGCTGACAGGGTAAGCAGTGGAGTGACACTTGATGATAGTGAATAATAATAATAATAATAGTGTAATAATAATAATAATAATAATAATAATAATAATAATAATAATAATAATAATATAATATAATAATAATAAAATAATAATAATAATAATAATAATAATAATAATTTCCCTTATCACTCCACTGCTGACAGTGGCGACATCTGATGAGCATAGTCTTATCTGATCACTCTACTAATGACAGTGGTGACATTTGATGAGCATACACTGCCTTGCTTTATTTGTTTTCACTGTTACACATAAACATGTCTATCTGTCTGTTTGTCTAACTCTCTGTCTGTCCGTGTGTCTGTCTTTCTGCCTGCCTGTGTCTCTCTTTCTGTCTGCTTGTCTCTCTTGTATCAGAGAGTTGCACATGATGGAGACAGACAGCCAATCTGCTGGCCAGCCAGCCAGCCTGCCAAACACATGTTACACGTTCCAGAATTGTTTCTTTTTACTTGGGGAATAGGTTATAAGACATTCTGGCAGGATGACACTACCAGTGGTACCAAAATTGAAAGGGTGTTGCACAAATGTTGCACATGGGCTATTATTGAAGTTTTTAACATTTTCACAACCACTTGTGGCCACATCCACCTCAAAGCCGCTAAACTTAGGGTCAGCATCACTTTTCTCATAAAAGAGGAGAGTTAATATGACATGACATCAGTGAATCCTTGGTGTTTGTCGTGCTGTTTGCTCTAGCTGGTGCTCAATTTAACTGGTGCTCCCACGAAGTACTAAGTGGTCCCAGATTTTTTAATACTGCGCACACTGAGTGCTAAGACCCATTCTATGCTGACCAGGCATCTCAGGCCAATCGTGCCAAATTTGGAGGCAGGAAACATAAAACATAAATATATGTTTGGGGCGCTTGCAGTAAGAACGTACTATATATGTTTGGATCGTTTACGGGTTAATCCATGGAACCAAAAAAGAAAGTGTACCAGAGTATAGCTGGACTTGAGTTCTGAAAGTGGGAAGTACAGTGTCTGCACTCTGAAGGGGGGATAGGGATGTTGCAGTTTACAGGGGGCATCTGAAATGTAATGGCAAAACAGCGACTGAATGAACAACAGTGAAAGTGTTTTTATCTTTGTAGAGTTATCCTACCTCGGTGGGAGATGGCCAGAGTATTATATTTTAATAAAACCAAGTATCTTGCTGATGTGTTTGTACCGTTTACATCAGGCTTTGGAATGTATCTATGAAATGTCACGGACCCTTTCAGACTGATTGAGTTTCATCCTGCTGGGAAGAAATTGTTTACAGAATGAACCTTTTCTTATGTAGCTCCTAGATTGTTCAGCAGGTTGCCAAAATCTATTAAAGAGTCAGGAATCTGTCGATGCTTTTAAGTCTTACTTGAAAGGACATATCTTTTTCTAGAGCTTATGATCCTGATGATTATACTGTCACTCCTAATATAAACTTAAGTAATAGTTCTTCATAGTCACTGCACTTATGACGATGTACGAGTCCTTGTGAATTTCTTTTAACAGTCTCTCAAGAATAACAAAATCCCAAATTGTTGTTGTTATTCTTACATGTGCTACTGAGGCAGTTACATATGATGCACTCTATGAACTAGCCTGGTCCTAGATTTCTTTCCCAGGCTTGAGGTGGTGGTAGACAAAAAAATACCCAAAGCATTATTTTGCTATCCATGAATCTGCATATCTACATGGGTAAGTGCAAAAAAAATCTTCCTCCACAAGTCATGTGTGTTGTAAGCAGTGACTAAAATGCTTGGAGCAAGGGGCTAGTAACCCCTTCTCCTGTATAAATTACTAAATTTAATAAGAAAACCTTTTGTTTGTCTTTTTAGGTCACCCTGCCTTGGAGGGATGTGCCCAGTTTGTCAAGAGAAAAAAACAAAAATAATATGTATATGGTCTACTTAGCACAGGTAAATATTAATTTTTATTGATAATACAACTAATAATTTCTTACTGTAAATTTGTAGGTCCATCTACTATGTACTTGTACTGATAGCAATCTATACAATTTAATGCAGAAACTACATAATAAGAGAATTCTCTAAAACATTTAAGCTGTAATAGAGAGAAACTAAATATTTTTTCAATCATCTGTTTCTGAATCCCTTGCCAAAATACCATGCTGGTCCAAGATTTCTAACTCTGGTTCTGTTTTGAGAGTAATACGATGGTGTGAATCATCCATAACGGCTAGAGTTGAGGTTTGGGCAGAGAGGGGAGAGTGTGGTGGGTCGTGAGGCATGTCAAGTTCCTCTCCCAGCTCTTCACCACTCATAACTTCAGTACCCATGGACACTGATGAGGAGTTGCTAATCAGGATGCTCTTCTCATTCTGGACAGAGCAAAAACAAAAATGAACATGATTAATTTAAGATATACAGTACTTTTTGTAATAACATTTATTAAATTAGATACCGTATTTTCCATTTTATATGATGCATGTTGATCTGTAATTTTTTAAACTGTTAAAGCATATTCATAAACTTGCTTTTTCATCTCCAATAAGGGATGAAAAAATTCACATTAATTTAAAGTTGCTTATTTGTGTAATAGTTTTAATATGCACCCCAAGCCAACCCCATGGGCAGTAGTCAAAAGATTATGGAGGCACATGAGTCCAGGGACTAGGTCCTAATGTTATGGTAGCTCAGCAAGTTACAGTATAATGAATTTTAAAGTGATACAATTATTATATCTTTTGTAATGAGTCTCATTTTATGAAATAGTAAACAAGTTCCAACTGCTTAGAAATGGAAAGAATGAAGAACAGAAGAGAGACACTGTATACAAAATAACGAATACCACCAAACAGAACAAAAGGAATATGTGAAAGATTTGGGTGCAATAATATCAGCTACCCTTTATTTCAATGAACATAATAATGTAAATTTCACAAAAACCAAGAAATGAAGGAGTGGATAATGACAACTTTCAAAATAAAGAAAATAAATCCAATGATGACACTTCAAATCACTTGTGCTTTCTTGCTTAGAGTACTGCTCACCACTGTCAGGGCTGGAACAGATACAGAGATCATTTATGGTCTCCACAGAGTCAATAAATAATTCAAATCATTGAGAATGCTTCAAAGTTCTAAATATGTACTTGCTGAAGTGGAGGAGAAAGAGAAACATAATATATACATGGAAGGTACTTAAAGGCCTAGTCCCAAATTTGTACACTGTCACAACTAAACACTGGAGGGAGAGACATAAAAGAAAAAGTAATATAACCCATTGAAAAGCAGGAGGCACTGTGGGCACAATAAGAGAAAATTTTATCAACATCTGTGAGCCCAGACTTTTAACACAATCAAAGGATATCAGAAACACTGCCCAAATAAGTGTAGAATTCTTCAAAAGGAAACTGGACATATTCTTCTACCAAGTGGGGACAATTTATACCGGTTTCATATTTGCAAGTATTAAAAAAAATTTTTTACATTAATCAAATACAGTAGACCACCTTTTAGAACGAGTTTATTTGGCACGATTTGGGTATAGCATGATTGAAGAATTGCGGCACAATTTTATGTAACACGTCGTATGATGAATTTAACACGGTTCAGTTTGTGGGAAGGAAAAAAAAACTTCCCTTTTCCTCAAGCGGCTGCCTTGTTGTGGTTCAGCGAGGGAGACCTCCCGCCATCCCCAGCCACCCCCCAACATCATCCTACCATCCTGGCATTCGTACCTCATACGTGTCCAGTCCAACTTCTCTGCTACAAGCTTGTGATTGTGAATTGTGTTTTGATCTTTTAATTGCTATATCTTGTATCTGCCAAGCAAATTAATGAAGGATCCCAACAGAACGAGGTGAGGAGTCCACACGCACAACCTGGCTATGGGAAAGAGGTAATTGGCCAGCCCTTTGCTCTGAGCTCGCCACCACCGACTGGAATGCTCTTCTCCAGGGGGATGTTGACAACCAAGTGAAAGCCTTCACTGGACACATCCTTAATCTGCAACAAGAACACATTCCTCACCGGCAATATGTGACAAAGCCTACAGATCAGCCTTTGGGTTTTTGGCTTTCGTTTAAGAGGCTGCTACTGCTAAGTACAAAGCATGGCGAAGGTATAAGAGACATCCTACCACCTATAACAGGAACTTGCACATGCAAGCCTGTAGGCATATGGTGATGTTCAAAAGTGGGCCTTTTGCTAAATGGGAGGTGGACACTAAAAGAAAGTTAGCATCAGGTAGGATAGGCTCCAAAACCTGGTGGTCCCTGGTAAAGGACAGAAAAGGGTTATCTGCCTGATGAACTTATTCCACCTCTAAATCGACAGGATGGACCACCTCTACTAGTAGTCAAGAGAAGGCGGACCTCTTTGCTGAACACTTTTGCTACCAAAATGCAAGTTCCTGATCCAGAAAGGGAGCCCTCCTTGGCTAGCTGCAAGAACTGTGTCAAAACTGTCAGTGGTGACAATAAGGCAGGAGGAGGTGCATTTCCTTCTTAAATCACTTGACCAAGAAAAGGCTGTGGGCCCAGACAAGTTGAGCCCAAGATTGTTGAGAAGATGTGCAGACCAGCTAGCAGCACCTCTAACTCGCATCTTTCAGCACTCCATGGAAAGAGGCAAATGTAGTCCCTGTTCACAAAAAGAAGAGCAGAGCAGAAATCAGCAACTACAGACCAGTGTCACTCCTGTCAATCACTGTAAGATCCTTGAGACAAATTTTCTCAAGGCAAATGACAGATTTTTTGACTACCACTCACTACTTTTTGATCGTCAATATGGGTTCAGGAAAAGGTTACTCTGCTGCTGATCTGTTGCTAAACCTCTCCACTAAGTGGCACCAGTCACTGGATGAAAACCAAAGTCAGCTGTGTGGTAGCACTGGACATTGCTGGCGCTTTCGACCGGGTGTGGCACCAGGGCCTCTTTGCAAAACTTCAAGCAAATGGAATTGCAGGGTCTACGCTATGTCTCCTCAGTGATTACCTTCGTGGAATCTCTAAGTGTAGTCCTCAATGGAACGGAATCAGCAAGGCATCCTATTGGGGGGAAGCGTTCCACAAGGAAGCGTGCTGGGTCCACTGTTATGGAATGCTACTTCAACGACCTTCTTCATCCATCCCAGAATCACATGCATATGCAGACGACTGTACACTGACTTTCACCATTATCCAAGAGAAGAAATGCCAGCTGCTCTAAGCTACATCAATCACCAGCTGAAGCTATATCAGCTTGGGGGAAAAAGATGGCAAGTAACATTTGCACCTGAGAAAACGCAAATGATGATCGTCTCTAGGCACCATGATGGAATGCTGGTGCAGTAGTAAGGATGAATGGGACGATGTTGGCACCTGAGAAGAAGTTGATATCCTTGGGTGAAAATTGACCCCAAAAACTAACCATGAAGAACCATGTTGTAAATCTTGCAAACAAAGCACCAGGAAGCTTACAGCACTTCGCCGTATCTCGCATCTGCTTGACAGTAGGGTTGAGATCCGTACGAGGCACAAGTACGCTCACACCTTGAGTAGCTCCACTTTCTTGGTTTGCCTGCCCCCCTCTCATCTGCGACTGCTTGACAGAGAGAAACAGAGCAAGCCCGGTCTCATCTCTCGCCTGGACCCATCCTGGATAGATCTGTCATTTCAGCAGAGCCTTCAACAAAAGGAGGGATGTGGGTGGCCTTACGTTATGTACAAGGCCAATATTGTCAAAATACCACACTTGGATCCACTTCGAGGACAGCGTGAAACAAGCTTTTATGCCACAAGAAAGGGGAGAAAGGGAGCAACTTTACTCTGGCTGTACCCTTCTCCAGAACATCACTCCATCTGAGATCATACATACCCAGGGTGACTCGAGTATGGAACACATTCGTACAGCATAATGATATCAAACGAGATAAAGTCATTGATCAAATGAAAATGCTGGCCCACAGATGGCTCCAACTTCATCCTGTCCCGTACTTGTATGCTCATAACAATAAAAATGCTTTCAAATGAGCTGAATGTAGGTAACAGCTCTTAGCTTGCCAATAAAATTAGGAATCCCCTTTCCTGTAATATAGCTGTCAATAAAGCTAGGGATCCCTTAACCTTGTCAAACCCTGTGTAAAAAAAAAAAAAAAAAAAAAAAAAAAAAAAAAGGAAGCAAAAAATTTTAGACACCCCATCCTGGGCCATAAGAAGTCTTATTTTTGAAAACCAAAAAAAAGAGGTAACTAATTTTTGTGGACTGACTGATTTTACTGACTGAATGAATCACTGAATACTTACCGAATCACTTGACTTACTGAATGCTTGCTGACTTACAAATGATTTACTGTTTAAACTGAACACTTGACGATTACTAAATCACTTGTCGACTTTACTGAATATTGACTGACTTACAAATTTTACTTGACTGATTTACTGAATCCCTTGACGACTACTGAATACTTGACTGACTTACTGAATCACTTGACTGACTTACTAAATCATTTGAACTTACTGATCACTTGACTGACTTACCTTTGAAGAGTTTCGAGAGTTTATCTACCTCGGGGCCCGCCAGGCCGGGCTGAATCACTTGACTGACTTACTGAACACTTGATTAATGACTTCTTAGCACTCCAGTACAACCATCAACTTCAGTACCAAACTCTACCATCCCCTCACCCCATAGGACCACAACAAAACTCTCCACTCTCTCAAAATCATCCACAACCCCCAACACCCACAATTAAGTAAAAAAACTATTATTTCTGTTACATTTGTATCTTAACAGAAAAAAAACGCATAATACATCAAACAATGAACACAATACATTTTCACTTTTATTTTTGAAAGATGTGGAGGCCTAAAAAAGTTGTTTGGCTTTTTTTGGGGCTCTCAGGAACGTAACCCTATTTTTCCCATAAGTTCTTCAGTTCATCTAACACGGGTTTTACCAACCGGTTTTCAGGAACGTAAAACCCTGTTAAATGACGGTCTCTGTAAAAGTGAAAATCAAGGAATTTCTGCTACCAGAAATATGCATACTCCGATTTTTGTTCTAGTACACATACTTAAGCCATAATTCTTCGTAAATTTGAAGCACACTGTGGTATACCCCAAAAAATTTTTATTATTTTTATTATTTTTTAATCAAAAAGAAGCCAAAACCACAAGGCTATACAGCATATATAAAATTATTTATTCCTCTGTTTTTCTGCTATTAATTTTGCTTACATTTAATTTTTTTGGGGATACTGAACTGCCCATGCTCCTTTTCAATTTCCCAAGTCCTTTAAAATAGCTTTTACAAATGCAACAATTTTACAGTCTTTTTCTGTTAATTGTCTTTCTTCCCCTGTCTTCCATTTACCGATCTCTCTCTTTATGACCTAT